ACACACACACACACACACACACACACACACACAGACAACTGTGGGTTACCAAACTAGGGTTTTCATCTCTTTTATGACAGATAAAAAAATGATACACCATCTCCCCCAAACAAAATGAAAGCAACAGAAAATCCATCAAATGTTTTATGAAAGAAGTTTTGATACCAAAATGCAGGAAGGTCATAAGCTCCGAGAAAGTTCTTTCCAAGAATCCCAGATGCTATTTCACACGGATCAAGTTATAACAATGGTCTGTATTTTGTTGTTTTGCTACAGCTCACTGGTCCACCAGGGAAAACCTGGCACAAGCACACTGGGGATGCCCGCGTTGTTTACACATGAACACTCAGCTGGGCACTGTTCTTTGCTGCTTTTCCCAATCTGTGTCTTTGGGGCCTGCCTAACCCTGAACCACTGCACATGGCGGGCCTGTCATAAATACTGACAAACTGGCTACGGACTAGCTAGGAGGGAGAGCACAGGCGGCTGCCGGTTCTCAAGGCCGTCTCCCTCGGGCACCCGCTCTATAGCTTTGCTGATTACCTTCACCATGGCTGCCTCGATGGAGCAGTCGGGGAAGCCCGGCTGGTCTAGCATCCCAGCAGTGAGGTAGGCCATGCTCTCCATTACGTATGCCTTCTGGGCCATCAGCGTAAACTTTCCCTGGAGTATCGAAAAACACAACCAAGGAGCAATTAGCATATATGAAGCCCACATCTGCCAACTAGTAGAGAAGATAATTAAGTCAGAGGGCTCATTACCCAAGACTCCAAGTCCTGGCACTACAAGAGGGCTTGACATTACATAATGCCTTATCTAATCGTTCCCAGATCCGTGCATGAGGGTCACAACTACAGACACCAAAGCGCCCACTCTCACACACAGACAACTGTGGGTTACCAGAGCAGGGTTTCCACACAGTGAAATCGATGAACTCTGCACTTTCAACTTCTGTACCTGGATTAATCCAAAGTCACTGAGGTTCTTGTTGAACTGTTTCCTTGTGCAGGCATATTCGGCGGTCATTTCTGAAGAGCAGAGTGGTTAAAGAGAACATATCTGGTTGTCCAAAAATGACTTTCCACTGCTGTTATCACTACCTTTCAACACTTGCAGGAACAATGAGAAACGTGTCTGCTGGGATCGAATGCCTCTGGTCAGTGCCTCCACTTTCTAGCTTATGTGGGTCAGAGGCAGGAACTCCCGCTCCTGCTGGCACTTGTTGGCAGAGGCCTGGGGCAAAGCACAAGCTCAGGGTTAAATGCAGATGGGAGTCCTGGCACTTACTGGCCGGTGGATGGGCCAAGAGCTTTGCCACTCTGAGCAGCCTAAACCCTGCCCCATGCTCCCCCGGGTCACTGCCAACATGAAATCGGAGAGAAGTGTCCAGGCAGAGGCAGCAGCAGGCCCAGACCTGTCACAGGCCTTCATGACCGAAGCAGGAGGGTGGCCTGGTT